GGTTATGTGGGCCCACAGCCTAGACCTCACAGTTGGACGGTACTGCTGGCTTGGTTCCCTGCCAAGTGTGGGATGGGCTCTGTGGCTCTACTGAGCAGCTGAGAGGGTCCTCGGGTGTGTTTTCCTGTCTGTGTGGAGACACAGAGCAGGCCCTGCAGCCAGGATGGTCTGTTGGCTGGGGACCTAAATCAGGCAGAACTGCCCAACAGGTGCTCCGGATGAACACATAGGGCCCCTGGTAAAGATTTGTGCTCAGATGCTAATGCAAGCATGGCTACAGGATGAGCTGCGCAGCTGCCCAGATCCCCTGGTTAGGCTTCTGGGTCTGGCAGGGCTGGGGGTCTTAATTAACAGTAGGTGGGGATTCAGATGTGTTTCCCTGACCAGGGCAGCCATGGAACAAGATCCACAGCCAGCACAGCTCACTGGCTAGTCCTCTGTACCAGGCAGGACTTCCCATGGAACTCCTCCAGATTATGTCACCAGCTTGGCTCTGCAGATGGCGGGGAGGCTGGCTGTGAGCTCTGCTCAGGAGCAGCTCTAGGAAGAAGGCAGTCTGCCAGGATTTGAGCGCTGGCTGATATAAGCCCTGCCTACCGTCCAGGTTTTTACCTGGTCTTCAGTGAGAAAGCCCAGTAGATTTCCTCGGTAATGTCTGTGAAGTGAGCCTCCCAATGCTGGGTGCTGGATATTCACCTTGGGCTCTTGTTTTTGTTTTTGTTTTGTGTGTGTGTGTGTGTGTGTGTGTGTGTGTGTGTGTGTGTGTGTTTTCCCAACTGGAAACCCCATAAGCTCAAGGGCTTCCCCTTGGTGAGGCATTCACTGGGGAAGTGTGATATGGTCAGAGTGGAGCTACTTCTCTTAATTTTCCGACATGGTCCTCAGTCTGTGAGGTGAACAGGGGTGCCTCGGCCTCACCCGCAGATTCTAAAATCAGCACTATGGAGAGTTCCTGGTGGGTCTTGTTAGGACAAGGGAAGTCAGAAAGGACCTATGTCATCATCTTGAGGACATTACTCTCTCCCTCGAATATTGATGGTAATAGTGGTGATAGGACTTAGATGCTGTCAGCTGATCCATCTATTATAAAGTTCCCCATCAACTTTTGCCTAATAGCTTCATTATGCATTAAGGATTACAGCCAGTTTGTATTATAAAACCAAGAGTGAATAAAACAGTTTTCTAGCTTTAGCTTTTCTTTCACCTTACTAGCATTTTCTTTAAGAACTATTCCTCATCAATTATTTAGTTTCCTTGAAATATAGTTTTATAGCCAATAAAAGGTACATGCTTGATTCCTTTCCCTTTTTTAAAATGAGTTGTTAGCCATATTTATTAGTGCACAGTGAAAATTTTAAAAAAAAACTTTTTATTATAAATTTATGTGTTTATATATATTTTATGTTTTGATAAACTGAAATCATTAAATTGTCCCAGCTTACACCATACCTTTTCATGGTGACTCATTTTTATTTTATAGAATCTCATACCCTTGCTTTCGAACACAAAATTTCTCAGGCTTATATTATATATTTTCTATCTCAGACTTTGATTTAACCTTTTTTTCCAGGTAATCCTGGTTTCTCCAAGTGGGAAATAGTATTTATATACTATAATCTGGGCAATGGGGATGCTTATCAATTTGGAGTTGTCAATCATTTCTAGCTATTTTTTAGAGGCAGAAATAGGAATACTATACACATTTTTTTAAAGAAAGAAAATCGTGAATGCATACTATAATTTCATTTCAAAGTTAACATAGAGATTTTTTATTTATAATTCTTGATTTTAACCCCCCCTCCCCCAATAAGCACAGTCTAGCTATTTATTTAAATATAGTGAGATACTGACAGCTTTTTCTTTAGGATAAAAAACAAACAAAAAAACACTAATACAGTTCACCCTTTTTTGCCAGGTTCTGTATTAAATAATCCATTTGTTTTCAAATTGGTTCTTGGAGTATGTCTCACTCCTCATCTGGTACCAATTTGCTTGAGAGGTAGCTAAATTCAAAACTAGATATGTGTGAGATGGAGATGTGGTTTAAATCATTTACTGCAGTGGTTCTCAACCTTGGCTGCACATTAGAATCACCTGGGAATCTTTTTAAAATCCTGATTTCTGGATAAGGCCCTGATTTCTGGGCCAGAAATCAGGATTTTAAAAAGATTTCTGGGCCTTATCCAGAAATCAGGATTTTAAAAAGATTCCCAGGTGATTCTAATGTGCAGTCAAGGCTGAGAACCACTGATTTACTGAGAGATGATGCATAATATACAAAAGATCCAGAGCCCTTCTAGAAAATCTCATATACTAATGAATCTCAATTCCTCAATGAGGATTTCCAATAAATCTTTTGTGTTTGGTTGACATTAGCCAAACCTAGGCAATATCCTTTAGCTTATTCTTAACTGGGTAAAGAAATCAATGAAGGATTAACATCCTTTGTCAAAACATCTTATTTATCCTTTTTCCATAAACCACTCATTGAGAAGAAACTATATACTGACTGTACCCAAGCTTTCATGGTAGAAAAAAAACACATTTATTTGTAGTTCTTGGAGGGAAAAAGAAACTACATCCAGCTTCCTTTTAGCAAACCTTGATTCCCAGGATATGACACTGTCAAGTTCTATTATGACAAAAAAAAAGATGGGTATAGTATAAATTGCTCTTCTTATACCATGAAGTCATTCTTCAGACTTCATCATCAAAAAAATGAAGAATCCTAGAGAGTGATATCATATAGACTTTGGGGCATTATTTAGAAAATATATATGTAGAATATAAGTGCAACTCTCCTGAGTAAATTCATTAACTGCAGTTATCTATCTTTAACATCAGTAGACCTGGTGTTTATTGGTCCATCTTACTCAATGTTTTTTCCCTTGAAGAATGGGATAGTCATTCTAAATAAATTAACATATTAATATGATTTAAGTAATACATTTCTTTTTACTCAACGCAATTATAATATACAAGTGAATATCAAATGTGATATATGGAAGAGAAAGAAATAGGTTCAAAACAAGTGATACCTGAATTAAAATGTAAACCCAAGCTGGATATGCTACTCTGAAACCTAGAGGAACCTGGTTGACTTCAAGAAGACAATGGAAATCTGGAAACCAGAGACTTAATTTATAGAGCAGGGGAATGATGTTAGATAAATTAAAGATACATTATATCAGTTACACACGTGCATCTCAGGAATATTCATCTTCACATGAGCAATACGTTCTGAAAATATGGAGCAAAACACTTTCAGTTGTGAACGAGGCATTCAGGTTATTCCTGAAAACTCTAAGATTATTGTTACATTAATCCTAAGGAATAAGATTCAAATTAAAAAAAAAATCTGCCCCAGCCATGATGAGGAAAGACTCTGAAACTACAGACCTAATTCACCTTATCACATTTAGGTAATTTCTCCGATATATTCTCAAATAGCAATCTAATTTTAAAATATTTCCCAAAGACTCTCTTCCATTACCTCTAAATTATTATGTTGTTTCCCCAATTCAACACCCTCCTTTGGTTGGTGGAGGTGCAGATTCAATTTTTATTATCCTAATGTTGTCATGATAGACTCAGTGCTCACATTCTATACCACCGCATGTCATCCCATCTATTGACCAACAATTAGGAGGATGAGAAAGGAAAGCAGAGGAACACAGGCACACCCAGGCTGTTTTCCTATGTCACTGTTGCACATAACACGCTCACGAGTTCAGTTTCTACAACATGCCTTGTGCTTACAATTTAATTGACAGACTTTCTGAAAAAATTGCATAGTAGCCTCAGTGCAAATAAAGTGACCCGGAAAGGACTTTGCAGCTAGAAATCTTCTTGCCAATTGCCAATCAGTTGCCCTGACCTAAGCTTATGCTGCATTTTTTCTGAGCTCTCAGTATGCGTACCCTTCCCATGGCACTAACCACCTGAGAGCTGAATAAGTCCTTTAGTTTCTTGATTTCTTAGAGAGGTAACATAAATTGTATTAACTAACCATGCATCTCAGTAGATCTTTGATTGTATAGGAGACCCAAAATCTTCAGGCCCTGAAAACTTAACACAGTGAACATCTCAAATGTGTTTTTCAGTTAATATTGTATGCCAGTGTTTCTTTTCTTTTTTTTTTTTTTACTATGTAATTTTTAAAAATGTATCTCTCAGTTGCAGTTGGCGTATAATCTTATGTTAGTTTCAGATGTATAACATAGTGAGTAGACATTTAGGTGCTTCATGAAGTGATCACCCAATTAAGCCTAGTACCCCGCTGACACTACATAGTTATTACAATGTTATTAACTATATACACTTTGCTGCATTTTACATCCCCATGAATATTTTAATAACTGACAGTTCATACTTCTCAATCCCTTTCACGTTTTTCACCCATCTTCTTAAACTCTCTCCCCTCTGGCAACCACCAGTTTTTTCTCTGTATCTATGAGTTTGTGGGGGTTTTTGTTCATTTATTTGTTCTTTAGATTCCACATATAAGTGAATTCATGTGGTAGTTGTCTTTCCCTATCTGACTTATTTCACTTAGAATAATACTCTCTAGGTCCATCCATATCACAAATGGTTAAAACTTCATTCTTTTTATGGCCAAGTAGTATTCCATTGTATATATGCACCACACCTCTCTTTCTTTCTTCTTTCTCTCTTTCTTTCTGTCTTTTTTCTTTCTTTCTTTCTTTCTTTCTTTCTTTCTTTCTTTCTTTCTTTCTTTCTTTCTTTCTTTCTTTCTTTCTTTCTTTCTTCTTCTTTCTTTCTTCTTTCTTCTCTTTCTTCTTTCTTTCTTTCTTTCTTTCTTTCTTTCTTTCTTCTTTCTTTCTTTCTTCTTTTCTTCCTTTCTTCCTTCCTTCCTTCCTTCCTTCCTTCCTTCCTTCCTTCCTTCCTTCCTTCCTTCCTTCCTTCCTTCCTTCCTTTCTTTCTTTCTTTCTTTCTTTCTTTCTTTCTTTCTTTCTTTCTTTCTTTTCTTCCCTCCCCCTGGTTGTTCCCATGCTTTCGGCACAAAGTCATCCACATGAAGAATAACCCTGTTTCTAAGCTGGGGTTTAGTTTCCGCTCACCACTGGATTGCAACATCTTCTTTATTCAGTTGTCTACTGATGGACACTTAGGTTGCTTCCAAGTCTTGCCTATAATAAAACTTCAATGAACATAGGGATGCATATATATTTTCAAATTAGTGTTTAGATTTCTTTAGATAAATACCCAGAAGTGGAATAGCTGAGCCATGTAGCAGTTATATTTTTAACTTTTGAAGACTATATTTTTTTGTTACTGTTTTTGTCATAAGACACATGCTAAGAATGAGCACTCTTTGTACTATAAGTTTGCTCTATTTATCTATAAAATTTGCTCTATTTATCTATAAAATTTAAAATTCTGGTTAATATAGATTGAAGAAGGTATAAAAGGGCCTCCTGCCCAACTGATTTATTTGGAAAAATGAGGTTGAGATGGAAAAGTCACTACTTTTAATAATCTTGAGCAGTGTAGACAATAAAAATCTTGCCAGTGATAGAAATGTGCTGCTGCTATGCTGTCCAATATGGAAGCCACTGGCCATAATAAACAATCAAAATATAGCTAATGTGACTATGGATCTAAAGTTTGACATTTATTTTAATAAATTTTAATAGCCACATATTGTACAACACATAACTAGAGAGTGATGTGGAAAGAACCGAGACAGTAGTTATCTAAAATGTTTCGGAGATTTATGGAATTTTATTTATCAAGTGATATTTATACAAAATGATTTTGCCCAGGAAAGTGGGACTCTTTCAAAATTTAGCTCCCATGGATTCCTATATATACTATATTTTATTTCTATAAAAGAATAAATGCTATTGTCTGGATTTTGAATTAATTATTAATTATGGTTTTTTTTTTAGTTTTTTTTTATTATAAAAGAATGTGATGTGAACCCACATCAAGGATTTTGTGTGAATTCTGATTTTTTCTTTTTTAATTTTATAAGGTACTTCTTTCCTTCAGCATATATTTCTCTCTTTTCTATGTTGTTCTGCATTAACACCAATATAATTAGCATTTCTCTCAGGTTATAGCCATTTTATAAATGTGTAAGGAAGATGTGCAAGAAAAACAACAGCTTTCATTGTTAATTTGCATTCACTATATCAGAAATAGTGAAATAAGTTGCTGAATATTTTGCTGAAAATAATTATGAAATTTGATTACTCAAATGAAATCAGCTTTAGAAAGATGAAGTGACTCACTTTACCTCCTACAATAAAATCCATCAAAGACAGATGACATACTGCATCTGCCAAGTTCTAATCTATATCAAAATGATAAAATTCCAATTTTTAACTATATTTGACTTGGAAAAAAAACCCACAGAAAAGCAGATTTCTGATTATTGTTAATTATCATGATTTTTTCCAGATATTCTTTTATGGATAAAGTCCTCCCCTCCACCCCCAAGGTATTCTAGGTTCATAATTTTGGATACAGTTTTGCTGATTTGACATTCTCATGTAGTAGTTGTTTCCAAACACCTGTACACAGATACATGCACACTCTCAACTTGAAGAGACTGTAGGTTACTTACCAATTCAAGACATATGAGAAACTCTACTCAACCTGAAATCATCCTAAATTTCTAGTTCCCCATTGTCTAGTCAACCCTGTGCCTTAGCAGAGTAGCTGGAAATAACTGGTTAGCACACTCTGACCTAAAGGAGACATATCTCTAGCCTCTTTTGTGATACCTTTTTCTGTTTTTAAGCCACAGCTAGATAACTCTCATTTTCCCATTTCCTGATGTTGTCATTTCTTACTAAGAGCCATATTTCTCACGAGTCTGCAGATATACACATGTATTTGGGGCACTCTCATTACCCATATCAGTAATGGAAAGCCAAGTAAAGCTGACTTGAATGCGGCTAATAAAAAAGCACTTTTCTTCTCCTTTGCCTCCCCCTTTCTTTCTGGTGCTTTCTTGATACCCATTGCCACTATGCGGCTCAGGCTCCTTATGGTCTGTGCGGGTTCACTATAAACCTGATCTTCTGAGTGACCCAGTTTACCTACTTTCTGCTGCTGCTGCTGCTGTTGCCATAGGCTGACTCTATCAGATCAAAGCAACAGAATGAGTCATGGAAGTCCTGCAACATGGATACCATCTCCTCTACATTTTGTGTTGATGTCACAGTAGCTAATGCAAAGGAATACTAAGTGAGCTTCTGGGAATACCCAGCTCTCAGAAGTTTGAGTCAGAAAACTGCCTTGAAGGTTCCTACTCGATCAACTCCTTTGTATAGTCCTTCTGGGTGGCCGAAACATGGATGAAGTGTATGGCATGTGACTAAAACACTGTCATAGCATTCATTTTTCACCACCTCTCCTATGTATTAGACAATAACTGCGTATTTATGATGGAATCACATTCTCTGCTCTGGTTGAAGATCAGAAAACATACAAACATGGACAGTTAGGAATCTGACCTTAAAAATTGGCCTAGTGATAACACACACACAACCATCTTAAAATTGTCCATTACTTTTTTTTGGTCCCACAATTTATAGGCAATGCACTAAAAATCTTGTTGGCACAGACTTTGAAATATTATTTAAATTGGTCAATTCAATATTCATCACTTCTATTGAACCACTTTAGTTCAAGTCACTATTATCGCTTCCTTGAATATTTTAATAGCTTCTTACTGAGCTTCTTGTTTCACACTTACCCTTTCCTCCAACCCTGAGATGATATTTTTGTTAAATAGCAAGAGTGATCAAAATCTTCGATGACTTCTCATCCCTCTTAGAATAAAGAGCCAACGTCTTTATCATGACCTGCAAGATCCTTGATGAACTGACACTCAGATTAATCTCTGTTCTCATTTATTCTCTTTCTGATTCAGCAGCATTGTGACAGAGGCGCTTAAGTCAAGGCCACAGAGAATTCCAAAAACTAGGGTGACCCTTCAGAGTTATCCCAAATCGAAGCAAGGATTGTGAAGTTTATACCCACATGTTGTCCTGGCATTTATGTGGCATTCCATGGTGGAGGGGGCATGAGACTGGATTGAGTCTGGTCAAATCCAGGAAAGAGATGCAGTTGTGAGGCATAGGCTGGCAATACTTCTCTCACGCAGGGAAAGGGATGCTTCAACACAGAAGAGGAAGAATCTGGGAAGCACAGTGAAAGAGAGACTAGAGTCTTCATCGGGGTTCATAAGTGCACTTGCTTTACATAGTAATCAGTTCACTTCATCTGAAAATAGCACCTGGTTTGTCTCCTCTGCTGGGCACACACGCAAGGAAGATTAGTGAAATGGAGTCTAGCTGCCATCACTGTAGTTGATCTTGGGGCTATAACTGATACACGTCATTTCTCTCTTACTAATACCTGTTGTGTATGCCCCTCAACCTCAGCACGTATCTCTGGTGGTCTAGAAGGCTTGATTGGTATGGTTACATAGCTCCTCATATTTGAGGGGTCTTCGGTGCTGGTCACAATGCTTTTCTAAGTCTATGGTTGTTGGAGCTATCAATTTATTTTTAAAAATAGGCATAGAAGCCCTGGTTGGCTTGCTCAGTGGTTAGAGCACCAGTGCATGCACTGAAGGGTCATGGGTTCAATTCCCAGTCAAGGGTACGTAGCTGGGTTGCATGCAGGAGGCAACCAGTCGATATGTGTCTCTCACATCGATGTCTCTCTCTCTCTCTCTCTCTCTCTCTCTCTCTCTCTCTCTCTCTCTCCCTCTCCCTCTCCCTCTCCCTCTCCCTCTCCCTCTCCCTCTCCCTCTCCCTCTCCCTCTCCCTTTCTCTCTCTCTCTCTCTCTCTCTCTCTCTCTCTCTCTCCCCCTCTCTCACCTTCCCTCCCTCTCTTCCTCCCCCTCACTTCTTCCCTTCCACTCTCTCTGAAAATCAATGGGCAAATATCCTTATGTGAGGAATTAACAAAAAAATAGGCATGGAAGAAACAAAAAAAGCCCCAGTAAATTAGCCTCATCATCAAACACATTTTCTCTCCCACCTACCCTCTCCTGATGATCAGGCTCAGTCACCCTCTGCTAGACAGTGACTCCTCTCCTTGCCTGCTGCCTCTTGGAGCCAATACTTAACATTTAATGGGAATCATTCTGTGTCACTGGTAGAATGTTTCCCTTCTGAAAAATATTTCTGCATGTGCGGAGTCTACAGCTACATAGACCAGAAGAGTACATTTCCCAACTGGATCACTGAAAGGATGAGAAATGAATCACTCACATTTCCACAGTGTTGCTTCAGATCTGTAGTAACCCAAAAAAAAGAAACAAAATTAGGTGATGGTTGTTCATTTCCGGCTGTATACTAACTCCTGACCTAGAGGAGGGGGCTCCATTGTGAGATCTGGTGCTCTGGCTGCAGATGAGAAGGCCGTCTCTTCGCTGTATGAGACCAGAAGCTCCTGCGCGGTGTGCTCTGTGAGAGAGGCAGTGCATGGTACCATTGTTTGCCCACTGCCACGCCTCCTTTGCCTCTACGGTAATTAGTCTGGACAAGGAGATGCCTCATCTTCATCCTTCTTCAAGGAGGGAACTTTTTCCAAGGGGCTAGTGTGTTGTCAGTAGGCAACCTTAAATGATCAGCGCCTCAGTCACAGGAAGATTCCTACTCAGGTGTGCACCCTGCAAGAGAGTGCACATGGAGTCACTCCCTGAGGCTGAGGAACCAAGGCCCAGTCACTTCTGCTCAAAGTGGAAGTACCCCCTGAATCATTTTATCTCCAATCATTTTATCTTCTGCATACACGGTCTTCACAGTTTGCTTGCTCCCATCTACTTGTTTCTACTTCCTTCTCTTTTGTCTACAGTTGTTGATCCTAAGGGTAATAAACACCCAAACACTAAATTCTACTTTAGATTCTAATGCCAAACCTAAGACAGTTGGTACAGGAGTAGCCCTAAAATATATTACTTTTAGTTTTATAATGATTTTGGATTTACAGCATAGTTGTAAAGATAGTACAGGATCCTTCATACATTATTCACCCAGTTTCCCCTACTGAAAGCATAATTGTGGCACAATTATAAAAACTAAGAAATTAGCATTGACATATATTTTAACTATATACTTTACTCATATCC